CCCTAAGCATTTTCCCTTTCCAGTTCACAATCAATCCCACCCCTAGGTCAAAAATATGTATAGGACAATTGGTCTAATCTAATATTTTGTATGAACCTGTCCAGCTGTGATTAAATGACAAGTAGATGGAGGCAGGACTCCACAGCAGGGGCATACTCCATAATGTGCTGTGCATTCTCATATGTATATTAAATATATTGCTCACTTATTGTATTTACCAACATCAAGGAGTTATGAGCAAAGAAAGGCCACACCATACTGCATGTTTAAATAGGGAAAGTTTATTGATCAAAATGTATTACGCAGATACGCATTACATTTTTTCAGCCCCCCAATCGAGAAAACAAAACCAATTACATGTTCAAAGCAACGGAACGGTGGCCCAATATCAGAGAGAACTCCACTCTTGAGTGAGCAGTGATGATTGAGCAGTCCGTTTTATTCTGCAGATTCAAGCTGCTCTTCAAAATATTCACCACCAGATGTCACCGGAGAGGACTGTGTTGAAAAGCTTCGAGTAATGAACCGTTTTTCAATACAAGCTTCGGAAAGCTTCATTTGGCCATCACTAACTCACAGGTTTCTTTGAAAAACACTTTCTTATATCCAGCTTCTTCCTCTTTGCTGCCGTCCTCCTCTCCTCCTCGCAGCGCAGGTTTGCCGCTGCTGAAACTGAACAGAGCTCTCGGAAAAGCTCAGCCAATCACATTGGCCATATTTGTCACATGACGTAGGACTCCAGTAGAGGACGTGATTTAACTCTTTCTGCTCCGCTGGGTGAATGAGACGCTGACAGATCGGTTTTTTTGAAAAATCGGGTTTGTTTTTCTTTACTCGAAGAGATCAAATTATTGGTGGGGACGTGTCCCTTCCGTCCATGACAATCTACGCCCTTGTTATGACCACATTTTGAGCCCATATAATCGGCCTTAAAATGCAGCTTTAAGGCTGCAGACCCTGAATTGGGATACAGCCAAGGTTTCAGGTGAACCCACTGTGAAACCTGGCCCCGCCCTATCATGTGATTTCCTGAGGTTAGATGGCCCATGAGGTGAGTGGGCGTTAAGGCGTCTGGGAAGGATCTCAAACTGGATTACAGATGGCAGACTTGTGTAGCAGCATGAGACGCTGCAGAGGTGACCCGCGTGTGTGTGATGAGCCATCACAGCCCCTCCACAGCACACACGCACCTGCATCTTGCACAGGAGTGCCATGGTAACACTTCCTGTCAGGGATTTAGACCTCAGAACGCCTGATGATTAAGGTCTGTGTCTTTAACAGACACACACACACACACACACACACACACACTATTTTTGTGACCTGATGCTGTCACGTGTGGGGCGGCAGCCTGCGACATGATACGAAACAACAAACTGACGTCATCAGCAGGCGACTCCCACCTGACAGCGCCCAGGAGGCCGACGGGGAGCCTGTGCATGTCTTCGGCCACACATCAGTGCGCGGATCTCCTGACGCCCGTGCACCGCAGCGTCTGCCGCGCGCATCTGTCCGTGCACTCCGACAGCGCGGGCCACGATGGCGGACTGCGTCGGCTTCCAAGCGCAGATCGCCTCCATCATAGAGATGCTGGCCAACTCGGCGGTAGCCGAAATTTGCAAACTGGTGGACGACGGTTACGCGGCGCTGCGCTCTCAGATGGAGCAGGAGCGGGAGAAGAGCGAGAAGGAGAACCGAGCCCTGCGGCAGAGGCTGCGAGACATGGACGTGAAGATGCGGAGCTGTGAGAGGAGGATGAGGAGACGGAGTCAGCGCGAGGAGCATCACACGGCTCATTTTAGGCCGCCCAAAGGTAGGGGAGCGGGACACCCTGCACATCCACCCATCCAGCTGTGAGCTCAGTAATGATTATACTGCTGCATCCAGCCCCGTGTGCTAGTCGGAGAAATTCGTCCTGTCTCCCATGAAGAGCATGGTAAAAGATGGCTCGCATGTTTTGTCCCAGCAAACCTGATTCAGGTGTCCTCAAATGCTGGTTGGTGTAACATGCTGATCTGCTGGGCTCTTCCTGCACAGCCACCTGTGGAGTTCAGCAAAAGGCAGAATATCCAGTGAGTTCTCCGGGTGAAAAGGTGTAGTTGATGTTAGAGCAAATCAGAGCTCGTTACAACCGAGGTATGCAGAAGAGCGGGGCTGAGTGCACAGCACATCGAACAGATGTGCTACAGCAGCAGAAGAACAGGAAGCCACTGCTCACACAGGCGCAGCAAAACTGGAGAAGAGTGGAAACACTGCCAGGTGTGCCGAGTTTCTGCTGCCACACGGTTCAGCTCGCCGTGCGTCAAATATGACGGCAGATCATAGACATCAGACGTGGGGATGCGTGGCGTGTCTGTCTGATAATGTGGCTGCGTGACACACAGCTGAAACACGTGGGGGAGCACATGTTCAATGTCCTGTGTTATTTTCCAGGACCTGATGACCATCAGCCCCTGGCACCCCCTCCTCTGGCTCTTTCTGAAGGCAAACCCTTTCATCCAGTTTCAAAGGTAAAGATGAATCGTGCACTAGGCTAGCACGTTATATAACCTCAGCTCTCTGCACTTTGTGAACCTCTAATCCAAGATCAATCTGTTTTTGTTAATACAAGAATCCAACATTATTTTCGTCAGTGTTGATCTGTGACCGTGTGACAAAGAAAAGGTCCACATCCTAAGGTTAGACTCAGATGTGTCTGAGTGCACCCTCTAACATATGTTTCATATGTTATTCACTCTAAAAACATTACTTTGTTAGGTTCAGGATCTTTAAAGGGTTCTATTGGTTTAGGCCCTAAAAAGGAACAGTTGGAGTTAGGAATACAACATAAACTGAATTAGAAAAAGCTCATGGTTTGGGTTCAAATTCAGCTTTATTTATACAGCTCCAAATCACAGCAACAGTCACCTCAAGGTGCTTTATACTGTGAGGTCGACTCTACAATGACACAGAGAAATCACAACAATGAGCAAGCACTTTGGCGACAGTGGGAAGGAAAAACTCCCTTTTAACAGGAAGAAACCTCCAGCAGAACCAGGCTCAGGGTGGAGCCGCCACCTGAGACCAGTTAGGGGTGAGTGGAGGAAGACAGGATAAAGACATGCTGTGGAAGAGAGACAGAGATGGATAACAACTAAGGATTCAGTGCAGAGAGGTCTATTAACACATAGTGAGTGAAGAAGAAACACCCAGTGCATCATGGGAATCCCCAGCAGCCTACATCTATTGCAGCATAACTAAGGGAGGATTCAGGGTCACCTGGTCCAGCCCTAACTATATGCTTTAGCAAAAAGGAAAGTTTGAAGCCTAATCTTAAAAGTAGAGATAGTATCTGTCTCCTGAATCCAAACTGGAAGCTGGTTCCACTCACAGTGTGCACACGTGCAGTTATTTCTATTTTGGATGCAAAAAGTCTTGAATGTCTTCCTTCAGCGTCCGCAGCGTCTTGGCTGCTGTGTGGGACAGAAATGATTGATGCAGTAGCTGAAACTGTGGGACTCGTTTGTCTTTTCTCAGCAGGAGGAAGCCAAGATGTTGACACTGGTGAAGCAGGAAAAAGAGGAGAGAGATGACTGCAACTTGGACGTGAAGGTGGAGGTTAACATAAGGGCGGAGTGTGGCCTCTCTGCAGGTGAGTGTGGCCCCCACACAGTTACATCAGTGTTTTGTTGGCTGCTCACATGGTTTCAGTGTTACTGTCTGTCCTTCTACAGCTTTGGAGCCCAGCGAGGAAAGCCCCCCTGCTGACACTGTCCTCGACACCAGCGTCAGCAGCCTCACATCCTCCACATCACAGCTGTCCTCCTCTCCTGCTGATGCCACGATGGACCTGACCTGCAGGCCTCGAGCAAAACGTAAGGCTGCTAAGCCCGTAGGCAACACCGAGGGGGTCCATGCCTCCGAAGCGGCTCGCAGGGACCCTTCGGGGAGCCTACCTGATATGGCTCTGAAGCCAGAGGTCCAGACAGATGAGCTCACAGAAGATGACCTTCATCCCTCTCAGCTGTCGGCCACTATAGCCTCTGATGAGTCGAGCTGCGACCGCCTCAACAGCCTGGGCCTGGATCTGGCCTGGATGCAGGAGCGTGTCAGCCATCTGGGAGCAGCCTATGCAGTAGCACAGCTGGGTTTGGGGAACACGGACAGCGGGCACCCTTCTGCCTCCTTCCCCTCACAGGGAGGGGGAGAAAGTCTCGACGGCCCCCCGACTATGCTCTTTACAGGCGGCGCTCACGAGATGGCTGCTTTTGCTGCCTCCTTCGACATGGCTGCTGCTGCCGCCGCCGTAGTAGCTGCACCCCCTCCACCTCCGCCCCCTCCCCCTCCTCCGACAGCTCCCACTGGCACTGCCAGCAGCCAGAGGCGGCCTTACAGGAGCAGCACCGCCGCCGCAAAAGAGCCGGTGGCGTGCGCTGTGTGCGGACGTGTGTTCCCCAGCACGGCCGGCCTGGAGTTGCACCAGCGGGTGCACACCGGGGAAAGACCTTACACTTGCCCTCACTGTGGGAAGGGTTTTGCCCAGCCCAACAACCTGCGGGTTCACCTCCTCATCCACACCGGTGAGAGGCGTTATCGATGCACGCTGTGCGGGAAGAGTTTCATCTCATCGAGCCATCTGAAGAGGCACCGTACAGTTCACACACAGGAGAAACCCTACAGCTGCTCGCGCTGCGGCCAGTCCTTCAGCCAGATGTGTAGCGTCCGCAGACACCGGCAACAGTCTCAGTGTGGCCTGTAGCATGAATGCTGTAGCAGCATCTGATACACTCTGGACTCTGAATGGTGAACATTTAAAGATGGTAGCTTGAGCGTAGATGAGGTGATGTCATGATGACGTTCAGAGTAAATGTTTGTAAATGTTTGTCCTAAATCAGTTCTTCGGTTGGTCTACCCCACACTGTCTTCATATTGGTGGTTTGACAGTGAGACACGGTCACACAGGTGAGTTTGTGATAGACTCTGAGACTAAACTGAGACTAGACTCTGAGACTAGACTCTGAGACTAGACTCTGAGACTAGACTCTGAGACTAAACTGAGACTAGACTCTGAGACTAGACTCTGAGACTAGACTCTGAGACTAAACTGAGACTAAA